AAAAAAAAAAGGTGGGTAGAAGAGTGCTGGTGGCTTTGCAATTCTTGATCAAGTTGTTTCCAGAGGCCCAGGGCATTCTTACAGGTTTCTTGAGACACTCCTGTTTCCTTAGAGCCCAAATCCCCTTTTCTGGCCATGGTACATTCAAGCTGGATTCTACTATTTGCAGCCAAAGGGTTCTAACTTAGACAGGACATCTTCAGGCAAACATGAGGGGAGGAGGCAGTTGAAAGGAAAGAACTGAAGCTCTTTGATTAATGGAGCAAGTTCCCTTGGAAGCGGGAGAAACAGGTAGCACTAGCAGACTTTTCTTCCTGTGACATGAGAGGAAAAGAAATTTGGAGACAGAAGAGAGGAAAGTTTTTCTGGACAATACTGATTGTCTCAGTAAAATATTATTGAGAGCATGAGACAACACAGTGGAACTTAGATGCTTGACAAGCATGGAAGAGACAGAGTGAACACCATAGGGAGCATGCCTGGGTAGAGGTGAGTGGAATAAAAGAATCTGGTGCAACGTTGAGGACCTACTTTTGGTTGGAAATCACACCTTCTGGTAGAACCTCTCCAACAATGAATTGTCAACAGTCTGGGAACAGGAGCAGGGAGTCAACAGCGGGATTTGTCAGGATGATCCTCTGGGGCTATCACAGCAATCACAGATCACTTCAACACCCTCTGACTCCCAAATACACACAAAACACAGAAAAATCCAGAGACAGGTACGGCCACAGGGACCAGATTTCACCAAGCTTGGAGTACCTTGAGGCCTCTGAAGTTCAAAACCAACCAAGGAGGCTTTCACCACCTGAAGCCTAAGGGCAGTGTTAAAAACCAGTTTGGAAGTCACTTGACTTTGCCTGCTGTGTAGTCCCATGTGACTAAGACCCCAGTTATCTTCCTCCAGGCAGGAGGAGTTCTGATACGGAGGAGGGTGGGGCTGATCCTGCACCAAAAGATATTGACAAATTACATCTTTTATTTTCTCTTCTTGTATCACAAAGGTGATACTCCCCTTTAGGGAATATTCTGGAAATAAGGAGACATTTTTGGTTGTCACGATGACACTGTCCTGACATGGAGGGATGTGGGTCAGGGATGCTAGGCATCCTGACCCCCTGCAACATGTACAGGAAGATGAAGAACTGTATGTGACTTTCAAATGTCCTACAGGACATTCATGTAGATGAAACGTCTACTTATAATTGTCTTTACCTAGAACCTATCCTTGTGTTACAAATAAATACAATGTATTTCTTGAATTTTCCAGGAACACAACTACCATGTAAAATGAGGGAAGATTGTTATTTGTTTTGTTTGGAACTCTACCAAGACTCGTTCACAAAAATTATGTGCCAACAGTTATGTTGCTTAAGGGTTTGTATTTGTGGTGCCAACACTGCACGCTGTGTCAGCCTGCATTTGTGCCATCACCCCGCAGTGATTTATAGCTATTGCATTCAGAGTATTGATGTAAGCATTATGTCTTTTGGTGCAGTTGTGCTTGAGCATTTACATATGGAAAGACTGTATATATTTTATGGTAAATTGCACTCCTTTTATGTATTCTTTATGTTATAATAAAGGCATTACATATAATTAGTGTATTTGTTTGCTAAGACCACCATAATAAAGTACCACAGACCAAGTGGCCTAAACAACAGAAACATCTTATCTCGCAGTTCTGGAGGCTGGAAGTCTGAGATCAAGATGTCAGCAGGATTGGTTTCTTCTGAGGGTTGTAAGGAGAAGGATCTGTTCCGGGATTGTCTCCTGGACAGGCCTCGATTGCTATCTTCTCACTATGTGTCCACGTCACCTTTTCACTGTACTTGTCTCTATCCAAATTTTCTCTTCTCCTAAGGACACCCTAGAACTGGAATAGGGCCCAGTCTAGTGACCTAATTTTATTTTAATTACCTAAAGGCCCTGCCTCCAAATATGGTCACATTCTGAGGTATTACAGGTTAGGACTTCAATATATGAATTCCTAGAGGGACACAATTCAACCCATAGAAACTAGATATGTAGACACATCCTATTTCAAGATAGCAAAGGAAAATTTATAGACAGATTTCTTATAAAATGGGGACACTGAGTCTGATAGGGCTGAGCACTGCAGGTATGACTTCTCATAGGACAATGGTAACTGGTGTCTTATAGGTGAGTGTTGCCCCTTCTAATTTCCAGCCTAGTAGGGTTTACTGAGAATTGGTATGACAGAACAAGTGGAGAGAAACTAGGGACAAGAAATATTGGCTTTCAGGTAAAAGAAAGAGAAGGGTTCACACAAAGCTGACTTTGCCTATAAAAATAATGAAGAGGCCAGCTGAGAGCTTTGCTTAAAAGCCTTCAATATATCTTTACTTCTGAAGTTTCTATAACCAGTGACACTCTACCTTTCCAACTTTATTTTTCTCTTGTTTAACACCTTCTGCTGCCCTGGTGAATCAGTCTTCTTCCTGCCCCGGAAATATCTTAATGTATGTTTTTCTATCCAAGAAATGCCACATCTTTCTTCTCTATCTCGAAATCTTGTCCTGTTTACAAAGCCTAGCTATGGGATTTTTTCGTCCTATATCTTCCGGAAACCAATAGAATTGAGCAATTGGTAGGTAGAGTAGAATCTGAAAAGATGCACACAAAGAGGCCAGGAGGAAACAGGGGTCACGAGAAAGCTGAAATTCTGGCTTACAGCTTATAAGGCACCAGAATAGATGAATAAACGTATAGAAAGCCAAAAAGGGTAAAACAATTTCTTGGCAGTAAAAAGAGGGTTAGAAGCAGAGAGGAGAGTTGCTGTGTGAGCATAATGGTG